GGCCAAGGGTGGAAACAAGCATGTGTGCCCCGACTGGTGGATGGACAGACAGAACGTGGTCCATCCAGACAGCAGAGTGTTCAGCCACGAGGAGGAACGAAGCACTGACACAGGCTGCCGTTGGGATGAACCTCGGGCCACGGTGCTCGGTGCAAGGAGCTGGCCACGTGAGACCGCATAGCATCACGAGACCACGCCTCGCGTGACTCCACTCATAGGGAAGTCCAAGGGGCCACTCCACGGGGACAGAAGGTAGAGGGGTGGTCGCTTAGGGCTGGGGGCTGGTAGCCGAAGAGTTTCCTTCTGAGATGAAAATGTTCTCAAGCTGATGGCAGCGGTGGCTGCAAACATCTGTGACTACACCACCACTACTTCGCTGTCCACTTTAAGTGGGCGGATTACGTGGTCTGTGAATCGCACCTCAATAGAGCCGGGTTTGGTCTTGTTAAGTGGACGCGGCGAGGAGGCGACTGCAGTCCTCCATCCGAGAGACGCTGGTGGGAGGGACCAGGGCGCTGGAAGGAGGGAGGGGAAGGATTCCAGAAACAAGGCTCAGGAGGGTGAGCCCAGGGCACTCGGCCGCGCGAGGGGCGGTGAGGGGTGCAGGGCACGCAGTGGGCGAAGCCAGGGCCGGGCCACTGTCTCAAGCCCACGCTCTCCCCCGCAGAGCGTGAATGAAGGTGCCGGGAGAGGCATTCATTTTCTCCTTCACATGGAAGGACGCCGTTGGAAGAATGAAACCTCGAACTCTCCGTCAGGAGAATTAAAACGTAGCCTCCTGGGCAGGAGCAGACTGGGAGAGAGAACCTGGAAGACGGGGCTCCCCTGCTGCGGGGCCGAAAATGCTGGGGAGCTTTCGGAGGGAGGCTACCCCGCAGTGTCCTGGGGTGAGCATTTCCAGGGAGGAGCCCTGGTGTCCGGCGCGGCTCCTGAACCACAGTGAGGACGTGATGCAGCGCCGGGCGCACGCCACATGCACAATACCCTTCAAGAAGAGATATTTTTATTGCTGCACTTGAGGACAGCCCCTCGGAATCCAGAGTCCATCAAATCGACAGATGGAGCAGAGCGCAAGGCCCCGCGTTGCCCTCCGGGGGCTCGGTCTCCCTCTCAGCCGCAGCAGCTCCTCTGTGGCGAAGCTGAACTTGCAGGAAGTTCAGGTGTGGAGGTGCCCGCGACACACAGCACCCCAATGTGGCGCTGAGAACACCAAAAAGGGAGGGGGGAAATCCCTGCAGTCCGCGTGATGGGTCTGTTATTTACACAGAAGTGCTTGTTGCTCGACAATTGAGATACAAATGTTACTGCCTCTCCGCATGTGCTGCAAATTCGTGGCGTAAAACTGCTGGAGCAACTAATGGAGCCTTCACACATCGCATCTCGTTAAAGGAGAGGGGCCCTGGCTCCCCCACCGGAATCCCAGCCCAGCCACCGGGCACAGCCACACCTGGGCCGCAGCCTGGCCACTCTCGTGGGCTGCAACTCTGCTCTCACAAACTCCCCACGCCTCCTTTTTTAAAGAAAAAAAATCTGAACACTGTTTTCAAATAGCAGGATCCTATGGAGCTGGTTTCCTTTTTACCCAAGTCCACAAATAACGGGGGGGAAAACTCTGTGGAGTTATACAGGATTTGTCTCTCTCTACTGCTGATCAACAACCAACCTATTAACTTCTAGGATTCCTTGATAGACATCTTTAAACACGTGTGCATGTTTCTAGAAGTGAAAAAATCCCAGTGCCAAGGGCGTGCATGGGAAACTGATGGCGGCACACCCAGATATACTACTCAGCTGCTACCGTATTTCTAACAGACGTGGGTCCTGAGGTCATCCCCTCAGCTGCTGCCCAGCTCACCAGCCACGTGTGCACTTTTCATTGAAACGTAACCTTCATCGCCCATATTCCAGGCGGGAGCAGCACAAGACCGCACCTGTCTCCGCAGGCGCAGATGGTATGAGTTTCTCCCCCAGCACCTTTATAAATGAACGCTGCCTTCGAATGTATGCCGAGTCAAAGACAAACTCTGAAACACCGGCTTTTTCACCCCCCGCTGCCACATTTCAGCTGCCCCTGGGCAGGTTCGGGGTGACCAAGCAGAGCCGGGGTGCAGCCCTGAGCCACCTCCAAGAACGAGCTCGTCGACCTCTCCCCAGCCAAGCTGCCAGCCACCACCAAACGCTCCCGAGGAGAGAGAGCCGAGTGGATGTTAAGTCTCCCCAACTCATTCCATAGGTGACCTCCGCGAGGCTTCGCCTGGGAGCTGGGAGAGCCTGGCGGCTTTATTAGCATGCCGCGCCACGGCCCCAGCCCCCTCCCCGCCCCTCCCCTCCTTTATGAGCCCTTGTTATATAAAATGCCACAAAGGGGAGAGGAAAAACAACACACTTGCAGTTACAAACACAAGTTCGCGTGGCCAGGCCAAACCCTGGCTGCTTCCCAGATGTTATTTTTAATGGTCATTTGAAAGAGAAACATTTTTAAAAGGCCAGAGAACAAAAGTTTTCGTTGTTGTCTTTCTTCTTACACACACACACACACACACACACACACACACAAAGATGGAGGTACACTCGGTTCACAAGCATCCTTCCCCATTCAAATTTAAAGGCGAAGGCAGCCTGGAGTCGGACAGCTCCTTCCGACAGGATTTCCCAATGTTCCTTCCACCCTCCTCTAAATTCCGGCCCGGCAGATAATAAATAGCTACTCATTGACGATCATCATAAAAATTTGAACACCTTGAAACAGTTGCTACAATACAGAAGAAATGGTTACATCGAAGCTCTCTGCAAAGCCACTCCGAAGAGTGCAACTATTGCCACGTAAAAAGCACACATAAGGCGACATTGTTGCAATACAAGCTGCCAGATTACTGGATCTTCTCTCTCTTTTAAATCGTCTTCTATCGGAGCCGAAGAGTCAACAACTTGCCGTTTTACCCAGTTAGGAAAAAAAAAGGGGTGGGTGGGTGGTTTAGCCTCAGCTATCACACGGTGCCAGATTTGGTGGCGGCTTCTTTTTTTAAAGAAAGTATCTGATTTGATTCTACACGGTGATTAAACATCTTTGTGCTCAGCGGAGAAGGGTCTTCCAACCCCTCCCCCTCCAAAAATGGCATCAAAGCAATCAAAATGGTAATGCCGGGCCCGGGTCCCCTCCCCCCGCGAACTCCC